ACTAAAAAGTCTTTTTTTTAAGGCCAAGTCACTAATGTCACTTTTTCTTGTAATCAATCAATATTTTCAACTTTTTAGCGTTAATTTATTTCAAGATTTACCATTATTTGCTTTATGACGTTTAATCGTCTTTCTCTATCTACAGAGTGTCTACTCATTTTTCAAATTAAATTACCTTAGTTTTTCAAGGTTCTCCAGAACTTTAACTGATAAATTCCAGGCTTACGATAAGAAAGCTATTTTTAAATGCGTTAAAAATAGGCTTTTTTTTGTAGATCAAAAACAACAGCAATTAGCCCAAACGTTTTTAAGACATGGCAATCAGTTTTAAAGAAATAGCTTTACATTCAAATCCACTGAATGTTGAAGTTTATCACTTACTTAATTTCTCACTTTAATAAAGTTAAACCTTACCTAATTTCAGTAAATCCAAGATCTAAAAATATACAATATGTTGAAGTTTCATATTACATGTACAAGTTCAGGATATTGAAAATTTTCGAGGTGCCTGAATTAAGGAAAAAAAAAGTTCGTAATTAACTTTATGCAAGATTAGAGATCTCCATTGCAGTCCCATTAACTTCACAACAATTGGAGAATTTCTGAGGAATTAAAGGAAATGCTGTCAGTGAAGCTCCATAAACAAACTGCGGGAACATAGGGGAAGTTAACACGCTGGAAATATGGGGAACTTACTGGAAGCTTTAAGAACCTCAAAGCGGTTAGCATCCAACAATTTCCAGAAACTTTTATGAAGTTCCTAGAAGTTCAGGGAACTTCACAGTGTCAAGTGAACTTGAGAAATATAGAAAACTTGAGGGGTATTGTGCAAATTTTTAAGAAGTTCTAAGTACCTCATAAAAGCTGGATCTAGAGATCTTTGGGGAATTTCAGATCTTAATAGCAGTTCCCGTAACTTTATTCCAGACTTTTGAAGAAGTTTAAAGATCTATAATCGTAAATTTAGAAAAATTCAGGATAGTTCCATGATACGCTGAAAAAAAACGAGAACCCCTGTTGCGAGAATTTCAGGGAAGTACAGAGACCTTTAGTGAATTTATGAAAACTTCAGAAATATTTCAGCGACTTCACCGAAGTTCAGATAATTTAAAGTTGTCTACGGGAATTCCATTTATTTCCGAGCAGAACCGAGATCTTCAATAGAATTGAGAGCTTTGGGGAAGCTTCGAGAACCTCAAGACATGTCAGAGAATCAAAGGGCAGTTCAAATAATTACAAGAAAATTGTCGAAACCTTAAAGAAGTTTCGAGAAAACTCAGGGAATTTCCGGAAACTTCAGCAAAGTGCCGAGAGAATTTCTGGAACGTGATAAATATCATGGAGGTTTCAAGAACTAAAAAAAATATGCGAAAATGTAGCTAAGTTGATTAGAGAACATCTACAAAGATCCATTAATTATAAAGTGTGAGAATTTTTAGCAAGCAGCGATATCTTCAAGAGATTCCAGAGAACTTTTAATAAATGTAGACATCTTTCGATAGTTTCATGCTATTCAGCGAAGTTCCGACTACTTCGAGGACGATCAGGTAGCTTCAGAATAATCCCATTAACTTAAGCAAATTTGCAGTGACTTACAAGGAGTTCCGTGGAGTTATGGGGTATTTAAAGAATTCTATGATTGATCCGAAAACGTCTGAAGCGTCAGGAAATTATGAATATATATCAGAAAATTTGCCGGATTATTAACCAAATTTAAAGAACTTCAGGTAAGCATAGAAAAGTACAGGGAAAATCAGTGGGCGTTTTTAATGGTTAAAATACTTAAGAAAAATTGTCGAAGCTTCAAGGCAAATCAATCAATTGCAGTAAAGTTGCGGGTTCTTAAAAAATACTGATAAATTCAGAACAGTCTTGAGAACTTTAAAGAAATTCAGTAATCATTTAGGCACTTTTAATTACACCAGGGAGGTCTAGACCATTGAAGAAGTTTCAAATATGTGTCGATAATTTAAGAGAAGTTTCATGAACTTCAGAACAATCTTGAGAACTTCAGTGAAATTGATAGAACTATATTAATTATTTCGTTCTAATTCCATGAAATCTACGGGAGCACAAAAGTTCCAGAAATTCCAGAAAAACTTCGAAAACTTCACAGAAACATTTCGAGAACCCCATAGAAATCTATGGAGCTTAAGAGGAGATCCGCGAACTTCAGGATTTTTTTATGTTCATTAGCAAAATGCGGCAGCATTTGAAAGAAGTTTAGTATTTAAGCTTCGAAAATTGGAGGAATTTCAGGGGGAATTTTAGTGGGAAATTTAAAGCAGTTCCCCGATTTTCAGATAGCTTCAGAGACGTTAAAAAGTTAATTAAGGTCTTCAAATAAGTTCAGAAATTCACTGAAGCCTAAACATTTTTAGGACGGTACAATTAATTAAGTCCTTTAAAGTTTAGCGAAGTTTTGGAATTTGATGAGAAGTATTGTGAGCATCAGGCTAATTTCTCAAACTACAAAAGAACTTCAAGGCGGTTTCATTAACTTCAGGAAACATTTGGGAACTTTCAACTAGTTTGAAGACCTCAGAATAGTCCATTCCATACTCAACGGAGATTTGCATTGAAATATTCCTTAAAATTTCGATGAAGCTATCCTCACAATTCAATTTTCTTTAAGTTTTCCTTGGAATTACCTTGAATTCTCCAGAGACGAGGCTCGGTAGCTCAGTGGTTACCGTTTCTGCTTACTGAGCAAGCGGGAGTTCAATCCCAGGCCCGTCCCCTTCCTTGCAATTTTTCACTTTGCCTTATTCTATACCCACTAGATTTTAATGAAAACAAATTCTTCTTTTACACCGATCGCATCCCTTACCACAGTGTGGGTCCTGATCTAAAAATAGAAATTGGATGAGTGCGCGCGCGCGTGTGTGTGTGTGTGTTTGTGTATTATAATCGCTCTACCAAAAACGATCCCTGCGTGTGCGTGCAACCTTTCCCCACATCCAACATCCCAGTGATTTCTCGTGGAAGCGCAGAGGATTTCTCGGTTTCCTTCACAGCGAGTACCACGTCAACACATTCCTTCCCATTCCCTAGTTGACCTGCATTCGGACACGGCCGGCGCTGGTATTGCTAAATATTAGATCTCCAGTTCTTACACATTGAGGATGAATGTTAGTCACAAACATCATCTGTTGGTTCTCTGTGTAATTGCAGCTGATCTGGTAATAACAGAGCAGCAACCGTGGGCGGTCAATCTGATTTGATTTGATTTGAATTACCTTGAATTCTCCAGAATAAGATACGCTTTGGAAAGTTTCTCCGAATATTAATTGAATTAATCTCACTCCTTCCCTTGAAATTCTACTCACATTGAAAGTCTCCTAATAATTCATTTGCATGCATTTTTCCTCACCAGTTCCTTAGATTTCTCCTCATTATTTGTTTGGCAAATTCTCCTGAATTTTTTTTCGAATTCCTTTGAAGATGACCTGGAGTTATTCTCAGATTTATCTGTAATCCTCTTTTAAGTATTTTTTTTGAAATTTCCAAGAACTTATGCTCTGGATTAGTTTTCTCCCACAAACTTTATGAAATTATCCTCAGAATACTCTCGGAATTTTCCTCTGAAGTTCAAAATAGTTGTGCTCCTCAGAAATTTCTAAGAATTTTAATTAAAATAAACTTTAAATTCAATTCAGAGTTTCTTGAAATTCTAATCAAAACTATCAAGCTTCACATGAAATCTGAAATTCCTCAGAACTACCTTGAAAGCAGATTGCATTTGATGTTTTTCTGAAAGATTTTTTCTCAGAACTCCCTTGGAATGTGGTCCTTATATATTATAATAAAATTCCACGACGCAACTGTGCATAGAATTTGACTCCAGATTCTTGCACATTTCTTGAAGTATAATAGCTTTCAAAAAAAAAAAAAAAAAACAAGAAAAAATAATCATAATGACTACTTTTATTCACTTAGGTCACTTTTTAGTCACTATTTTTACAACTAGGGGAAATGTCTCTAATGTTGGCCTATGGATCTAAGATTGGGCCCATCGCTAAAAATCTGCTGGGGACATATTTTATCTAGATTTACGTATTATTGGGACGTTACTAATGGATATTTTTGGTCGCTATTGAAAATTTAGTCGATTGCTGAATTTATGCATGGGCCCAAATTAGGGACACTTAGGCCGACATTACCTGCATTTCCCCTATTTGGTCACTTATTTCATCAACATGGTCATTAAAATCACTATTTTTGACAGCAGTGATCGCAACCAGGCCTGAAATATAAACTTCTTCATACTAGCAGGTGCATTTTTCCAAAAGACTCCAAGGCATCTGATCATTTTGACACTCAAAAAATTAGATGCATGTATACAATCAGTCATATCAGACTCAAAGACATTCATTCCGTAAGAAATCGTATGAATTCATTAGCCTGTCATTTGACCTCATCTAAAGACGCTTTATTTCCCACCTTATTTTGTCAGTACAATTGCAATTCGTTTCCATCTTTCTCAATTTAATGTTTTCCAAAGTATCTGGGATTAGATCGGTTGAGCCTAAACAGTTCGCCCCACTTACCCCCTGAAAGAGTGGTGTTCCCATAGCAGGAGCAAAAAAGTTAGTGGTTTCTGGGAAGCGGAAGACAGTCACAGCCAACGCAACCAATCGAAGGTGGGAACGAAAGTTGGTTCTCGTCAAATTGGATATAATGAATGAGTAGCATCTCACAAAATTGCAACTTCTTCTGGTGGCAGCTCAACAACTAACGGCAGTAACGTTAGGAATTTGGTTTGAGCTTCAAGATGCGGCAAATTATACGTACTTGTACGATTCAGCTGTATAACGTTTCTCATAGTCTATCTATAAAAAGAGTTCAAGAAGTATTGAACAGATATAATAGAAACCAGTGACCCACGCCATCCAAATAAAGAAAAGGTTGATCCAAGCAAGAACACAATTCCGATCGCATCACTGCTCATTTTAAATGCATTGAGCAGAGGAACAGGAGGAGAGAAAATCCGGGTGAAAAGTGGGTGATTACATCATTTGAAATGGATCCTCGTAGAAGCTGTTATCAATGTCTATACTACTTGCATTGTTGCTGCTGTTATTGTTGTTATTGTTGTTGTTATTGTTATTGTTGCTGTTGTTACCGTTGGTGCTGCCATTGCAGCTGCTGCTACTGCTACTGCTAGTGCTACCAATGCTGTTGAAGTCCACGATGTTGATGTTGTTGTTGTTGTTGTTGTTGCTGGGATTGTGGTGACTGGTAGTATTGTTGTTATTACTACCATTGTGGTGCTGATGATTGTGGGTGAGAAGCTGATGCGGACTGATTGCGTTGTTCAGCCCGTCAAGTATAGATATATTGGACGAAATCTGATCAGGATGCAGTTGCTGTTGTTGCTGCTGATGCCGAAGATCGGCTTCTGTTTTCAGGATGCAGTTGCTCTGCAGTACGTTTGGCATTCCATTTGTCGTAGAAATTGCTGCTACTGCATTCGCTGTAACGACCATCGAAGAGGTGCCGCCTCCGGAGGCCTCCCCTTCGCCACGCATCACGATGATAACGTCGGTGAGGGCGGTAATGTAGTTCTTGGCCAGGGTTAGCGTTTCTATCTTGGACAGGCGACGTTCTTTCTTGACGTGGGGTATGACTTCTCTTAATGACTGTAAAGGGAGAGATGGAGTAAAAAGAAGAGATGAAAAGCGAGAAAAGAGCATGAGTTTAATTACTTGTGTTGGGGTATCAATTACTGTCGTCAAGAACTGAGAAAATTAAATACTTCATCATCATTGAAACAAGAAAATTCTCATTTCTCAAGTGGTCTGGTCAATCAGCGCTTTTCTTGAGGACAAGTCAGCCATTGAAAGGCTATTGGAGCTGCAATTTGGAGCTACAATCTGAGCTAGTGACGTCACCTTGTGTGCGTTAAATGATTCTTTTAAACGATTAATTCTTTTGATTCTTGATAGTGATGGAGTAGAACTGACACTAAACAAAGGATACGGGTATTAGGGTGGTTCAAAATATCGATTTTGAACGGTCTGGCTCAATCTATTCTTAATCAGGTGCTGATCATTTCAACCACAGTTTGAAATTATTTGGATACGGGAATTACTATGGGAAAAGAATGAGACGATGAAACCCCACCCCCAAACTCCTCCCCTGATCCTGTTATTTGACAATGTACCCCTATAACCTCGGGTAAGCCGCGAGTATTCGGCCCAACTAGACATAGAAATAAATTAATTTTGTTATAACCAATGAATAATGAATTATAGGTTGCCTGCTGAATGGGTACACGACGTTAGGCATACGGTCGTTAGGCATACGGACGTTAGGCATACGGTCGTTAGGCATACGGACGTTAGGCATAATGTACGATAGGCATAAAGGACGTTAGGCATAATGGACGTTAGGCATAATCTACCCGATGAATTTCAGAAGGATGATAATGGGAACCGTCTATTGATTGCTGACTTCGGTGACAATAATGATAAAGCCTTAATTTTTGGAACTCATGAAAACTTGCGACGTCTTGGACAGGCAAAGTGTTGGGTTACAGATGGTACGTTTGCCACAGTTCCTTGTTTGTTTCGGCAGCTCTTCACTGTTCATGGAAGTATCGCTCCCTCACATCAGCAGACGGTTCCGCTAGTTTTCATTCTGATGACAACAAAAACAGAATCGTTGTATCGAAAAGTATAGCAGCAGCTGGTATGTTTTTTTGTTATTGAATGAAAAACCACAGAATTCACCATTCTTCATTTCATGAGCTGTTCTTTTGCATCATATTTTATTCAACCTTAGCTGTTTTTTGTTATTGAATGAAAAATCACAAAATTCACCATTCTTTATTTCATGAGCTGTTCTTTGAGGAAAATCTTTTCTTCTTTGACAATTGTAATATGTGTGTAAGAATATATTACATGTGTGATTTTTTTTATTTCTAGATGCGATTGATTTCAATTCATAGTTCAAAACTATGCTGAGTTTTCATTGCCAGATTACTTAACCGCTATCGCTACTAATCTTGGATCTAAGTAAATATGTAGCTACGTCACTTATGATATGATAAATAATGGATTCCAAACTGTGCTTATTAAAGAAACCTAGACTAACATTTGAGAGGGGCGGAAGAGCCAAAATGTAAACAAACCACATATAGAGAGAATAGTTCACAAACTACTCGATAAACACGAAAAAGTAGAAGAAAATATCACTTCAAATCATCAAAAACGTTTCTTCTTACATGGCGTATTTCCAACTTTCAACTCTAAGATGCATCTGGTTGTTACGCCTTGGACCAGAACTACGAATTATATCGTTTTATTATGCCAAACGTATTGAGTCTGTAGTATCTAGTCACGCCCGATTCATTTGAAATGCATCCTATTGATAGTTCACGTGTAAACAACGAACAAAAAGAAGACCAAAAAAATCTCCGGGCGTAATTCCACTCTCACAAAATTTGCGAACGAAGAACCAAGGCGGAACAACAAACAAAAAGACCCGAGGGTGTACTTCCACGGCGTATCACCAGTGTTGGCAGTTCAAAGGGTGGAAGATCCAGGGGGCAACAACATGTATGAAATTATCAGGGCGTATGATGTTTTCTTCTCGATTTCACGACAAAGAAAACTTTTTTTGAGTTTTTAGTGATGCATGATGATAGATTACACTATTAACTATATGTCAAGCTTATAAAATCATCCAGAAAATGGAAACTCGTGAAATAGGATTAATTTCTAGGTCATCAAAATTCAGAAGCGATTTTCTCGATATGGTCATTTTGGAATTACGCCCTTTTCAAATGTTAGTCTAGAAACTATGTTTGTTTAACTTGTATCATTTTTTATTCAACGCTTAGCCTAATTTAAGTATTGTTTACCATGCTCGAAACAGGTAGGTATTTTATGCCTAACGTCCATTATGCCTAACGTATATTATGCCTAACGTATATTATGCCTAACGTCCATTATGCCTAATGACTTTATGCCTAACGTCCATTATGCCTAGCGTCCGTATGCCTAACGTCCGTATGCCTAACGTATTTATGCCTAATGGGGTACACTCCTGCTGAATAGTTGATTGAGCATAATCATAAAACATCAGTGACTTGAATCATTAATAATTTTTGTTCCTTACATTTGATCGAAAAGTGGTCTTGAACAAAGTTGTAGCTGAGAAAATTCAACAAGCTCAGCCATCATTTTCTAAAGTAGAGTAAACTGGTGAAATTTGAGATAGATATGAACCGAAATTATGGTTTCTCCATAGTTATTCCCATATAAACTTCAAATGGTTTGTGCCAAGTCAGTTTCTCACTAAATGAGTTCAAATTTTGGGAGGCTAATCAGGGCCCGATTTGAAACTGTTTGAGCAATGTGGAGCAAAAATTTCAAATTTTGCATCAGTCTAGCCTCCACGCAGAACCAGCCGGGTCGGAAAAAGGTTCCGGCCCGCAATGAGCAGAATTTTCCCGCCATTAGCCAACGGCGTCCGATACCGGTTCTTGCGCCACTTTCGCTCAACATCCGTTTGGCTGCTTCTGCTGCTGCATCGGTCTCGCCATCTGCTGAGGTGCCAAACCCTTCGGCAAATCCAAGCGGTTCGTGCTATGCGGCCAAACGAAAACGAAGAGCTGCTCACAACAGTGGAACTCATAACCATCATGGCAGAAGCAATCATCATCAAGCGCTCCTACAGAACCAGAACTGAGCAGATTCTTGCTGCATCACGTTTTATCGACAATTATGGACCCTGGTGCCATCAAGATCGCCAACTGGAACGCTTGCTCGCTCAAGAGCAAGAAAATTGAGTTCGTTCACTTCATCAACGAACGAAACATCGATATTGCTGTCATCACTTAAACCCACTTGAAACCGGAGGTAAACGTCTACCTTCCTGACTTTCGGCTTCTAAGACTTGATCGAACCACCTCCGGGAAAGGAGGAGTGGCCATTGCTGTAAGGAAAAACATCTGCTGTCGGCTTCTGCCGAGCTTCCAGCTAAAAATCATCGAAGCTGTCGGCCCTATCACCATCATTGCAACCTACTGCCCCAAGCAAGTCACCATCAGGGACGGGTCGGCAGCAGACCTACGGAAGGATATCATCAGACTAACTCGGCGCGAAAAGTACATTACAAGTAAAGACACAACCAAAACGGCACAATCCTGAATAACGACCTGCAAGAGGCTCGCCAAACCATATTAGCGCCGGACCCCTGTTGAGCCGGTCTGGCGTACACTCCACCATCGACATATTCTGCGTTCCATCGGGAAGGCGATATCCCGGGCCAGGGAACAAGACGTACCAGTATCCAGACAGGTGAGCAATACTCTGAACCTTGACAGAATTATCGAAAATCTCATCAGACTCCGTAACTCCATCCGAAGCGTTCTGGTTTGCGTTTCTTGAAGACCCATTGCAACCATCTTACAAAAACCATCCAAGCCAGGTGGACCTTAGAAATCAGGATTTTGCTATCAAGATCCGCTCTCTCCCAGGTTGTGCAAAGCCCTTCTGGAAACTAACGAAAATCCTTAAAAATAAGCCAAGACCCATTCCACCACTGACCCCACTGGACCGTCCCGGCGACCCAGTGGTTCATCTGATAACTCCTGAAGAGAAGGCTGCCGCGATAGGTCAACACTTCGTCAGCTCCCATAATCTCGGACAAAACATCGTCAGCTCTCACGAAGCTGAGGCTGCTGAAAATGCAACCAATCTTCAACAGATTCCCAACATTTTTCCCGAGCAATCCGAGATTTTTGCTGACGAACTGTTGGCCTTTATCAAATCATCTTAAAACATGAAGGCCCCAGTTATCGACAACATCCTAAATCTGGAACTCAAACACTTGAGTTCCAGATTCTACAACCATCTGGCACTGATTTTTAGTCAGTGCCTCAAACTTGGCTACTTCCCCTCGTGTTGGAAGTCGGCTAAAGTCATACCCATCCGGAAACCTGGGAAGGATCCGTCCTCTCCTTCAAGTTATCGACCAATCAGCCTTCTCTCAGGGTTATCAAAACTGTTCGAAAGAGCAGTCTACCACCGGCTCCTAACATCTGCCGAACAAAACAACATCTTACTCGAGAAACAGTTTGGTTTTCGGAAAGGTCGTTCGACCGTCCACCAGCTGACTCGAGTGACAAACATTCTCAGACGGAACAAGTCTGTTTCGAAAACATCTGCCATGGCGTTGTTGGACGTTAAAAGTTGAAGCGTTCGACAATGTCTGGTATGCTGGCCAGGTGCGCAAATTGCAGCAGTACGGTCTTCCAATCTTGCAAGTGAAGATAATAAACAACTATCTATCGGATAGGACGTTCCGAGTCTCTCTGAATACCATCACATCGGATGCATTCAACATCGGTGCCGGGGTTCCACAAGGAAGCATCCTTGGCCCCATTCTATTCAACATGTTCACCTCCGATATGCCGGCTCTCCATGGTGGATCGTTGTCTCTGTTCGCAGATGACACATTCATCGTCTACAAGGGTAGGGTCATCGGAGTTTGACTGCCAAACTTCAGAGAGGCCTGGACATCCTGTCTGAATATTTCAATAACTGGAAGATTCGTATCAACGCGGCAAAGACCCTGAGGACCTTTCCACACTCTAAATCTTCCAGACTTGTTCCGTCGGAGAATAATAAGATCTGCCTGAACGGGACAGTGGTGGAATGGTCGAATAGTCTACCTAGGCCTAACATTAGACAGCAAGCTGATTTTCAGGGAGCACGTTCACAAAAGCAAAACCAAGTGCAACATATTGATAAGATCAGATCATTGTATCCACTCATCAACAAGAGGTCTACCCTGTCCCTGAAAAATAAGCTAGCTGTCTACAAACAAATCATTCTTCCCGTAATAGAATACGGGATGCCAATCTGGGAGAGTTGCGCAAAAAGCCACCATCTCAAATTACAAAGGGTCCAGAATAAGATCCTGAGAATGATCGTCAATAGTCCATCGCGGACTAGAAACTCTGAGGTCCACCGCCTGGCTGGTCTTCAGACACTGGAGTTACGGAGAGCTACGGAGACTTCATTGCTAGGTTCAGCTGCAGGCGATCCGATCAATAGATCATCAGGGATCTGGTTAACGTACCAGGTTATGTTAAGTTATGCTAAGTTCAGTGTTGGCAAAATCATCAATCAAATTATATTTTCCGCTCTCATACGCTCTCAATATCACGCGTGATATTGGAACAAAATATCATGCTTGATATTGGTTTTACAAGCTCCGTTGATATTGCGAGACTATTCAAAACGTGCAAAAATCAAGCTGCACTGAAAATGTATTTTCGTTATTTCTCTGAAAACCGTTTCGTAAAAATGAATATCGTGCATACAACACATCTTTCATAAATGGTACGAAACATTCGTTTTTCCTGTCATCTGGCGCAATGTCAATATTACGCCTTATTCGTATAATATACAAATACATCTTCGTACAATCAAACCAACAACTCCGCTTATTGTCTCCTAAAGTGCTGATTGTGTGTTGGAGATGGGATATTTTTTTTAGAAATATTGTCGGTTTGACCAATACATGCAAGCTACCACAATAAATCATCGCGGTGGTTTTATGTTAGAGAAAAAAAAAATACATGCAAGCAGTAGAAAAAGCAAGAGAAATCGAAGTACCGCTCCATGAGTGCTTCTTATTTGCCTTTAGCTTTACCTCTTCTCATAGCACAGATAGAGCGATGGATAAAGCACAGATCTAACGATCGCAAGGTGCATGAGTCGAGTCCTGTCTGAAGTCTAATTTTATTTTTTTGTCATTTATTCCTTCCAATGATGAAGTTATTTTTAACCATCCTCACTAACACACTCCACATTTTTCTGTTTCCACAACCAACACTTGTGGACCGCTGGTTGGCTGTAGCGATAGCGAGTGTGGCAGTTCTAACGAAACTAGCTTCATACAATGTACAAATCCATTTCGTTGCAGAAAACAACGAATAAATTCATAGAACAAACGAGCGATTTCGTTGTATAAACGAAATTTTATTTTCAGTGTGAGAGTTGACTCGACACAAAAATGATTCCGGTGCACATCGTTTTCTTAGAAAGAGAAAGTATAGTTTGCTATCTCTTTTTACTCTTCACCGATGACAGACAAGAAGGGACTGCTGCCAGCCGTTATGGAAGTTTCGGTTGCGTTCGGGTGTATATCAAAAATCATTAAACTCAATCTCACCACAGCTTGGTGAGATTAGCAGATGGTGAGTTTTGTTAGCATGATATTCCGAGCTGCGATATCACAACTTGCAAAATCAACCGCAGCTGTTTGCTTGTTGATTTTTGACTACGAAAATCAAGCGTGATCTTAGGCATTGATGAGATTTGATTTTTTGATATTTTCCCAACACTGGCTAAGTTAGGTTAAGTAGGTAGAATAACAAATTAAAACATTTAAATCAAATATTCTTCACAAGAAGAGAATTGTAAAACATTACAACAGTAAAACAAGGCATGTACAAACACAAAATCAAAAAAATTCACCAAAGATGAAGAGCCTTCTGGCTAAGCTCTTGCCTTGTATTAGCAATTGTAAACCACGTAACAAATCAAAAATAAAGAAGAATTCTACTACTACTGATAATTCTTCAGTGGGAATGACACTGATGAAGACTGCACATTGTAGTCGAAATACGTATCTGTCATGAACAAGGTTGCAAATACTCATTTCAGCTAAAATAATGTTTTTTTTTTTAAATTATGAAATAATTAGATGCCATGATCATATTTTGAATTGGTAGGATACAAGAAGAGGTTGCAAAGAATGTGTTTGACATATTAAACCTTCAAAGTGTTTTTGTGTTACTTCAGACGCGAAGTTAGCGATTTTCAGAGTTGGTTGGAAATGCTAACATGAAGCTTTAGTGTGATAATTTATTAGCTAGAGAATGATCTTTAGAAAAGGGTAGGTGGATAGTTCCGTTAGAGTACGGCAGTATGAAAATTGAATAGAAGTTGAAAATGACCAAAGGGCCATTAATGCGACAGTTTTTGAAGTCAGACGCACATCTTTTGCCTAACCCGTACGATGTACGCGGAGACTTGAAGTATGTCTTCAAGTCTACAGGCAAAAGATGTGTGTCCTCCTTCTGCTCATAACTGACTGCGGCTGTGGAATAGTTCTAGCGACGTTTCATCACTATCTAAAGCCCCACGTTTGCGAGAGCATTTTCCAGTCGATGGTGTGTTATAATCAGGGCTCTACATTTTCGAAGCTCTAAAATGAACTCGAGTTTTGTTTCTCTCATACACACGTGTTCAACTCTTCATTTCTATAACGCCTAGCTAGACTATCAGCAAGAAATGACAATGAAAAAGAAGCACGTTTAGAAGGAAACCCTGGCTGTTGCTTTGCTCATCGCTTTCAATGTAAATAATGTCGATATTCTAGTTAAACGAAACCTCATTATGGCTTTCAATCCCCTTTCATGAACACTCTATCACCGCTCTTTCAATTTGTTTAAAATGCGTTATGACCCGTTTTCGTTAATTTTTTTAGATAAATATGTGGATGGAAGATAAATTAAACATATTACGTGTAATCTTCAAGTGTTTTCACGTGAGAAATGCTTTAAATGTGTAATTTCATTTTCCGTCATATACGTCATGAAACCTCTGTTGATGTGTTTCATGAAAGAGAAAACTATCAAAGTCGAGCGCTCTTTCGCTCATCCGTTTCACCGAAGCTTGAAAGGAAGACCAATGGAACAACGGGAGAAAGAGAGACAAGCGATTGAACATTTGTTTGTGCACGCCGACTGAGGTTCTAGAATGCTGCGAAGCCGGCAGTCTCTTCGTCGCATCGATTTGGTCGATTGAAGCTGATATTGTGACGCCCTGATAATGCAATTAATCTTTACCCAACTATTGTGTTGCTCCTCTCGTCATGACCAACGTGGTCATCTCAGAGAGAAAGCAGAAGAGTGGTTGTTGCGTGCTGTACCATCATCAGCATTGTTGACGGCTACTCCCGTCTTGAGTTGTTACATTCAAAGTGTTTTTTGTGTTACTTTATACGCGAAGTTAGCGATTTTCAGAGTTGGTTGGAAATGCTAACATGAAGCTTTAGTGTGATAATTTATTAGCTAGAGAATGATCTTTAGAAGAGGGTAGTTTCATACTGCCGTACTCTAACGGAACTATCCACCTACCCTCTTCTAAAGATCATTCTCTAGCTAATAAATTATCACACTAAAGCTTCATGTTAGCATTTCCAACCAACTCTGATATTAAACCTGTTTATTTCACTTCATGAGAGTCACAATTTTTCACACACTCACTCACTCACTCACTCACTCAGCTATCAGAAAATCGCTGATTGTGACTCATAGAAAGCAAAATTTACAGGTTTCATGTTTCAAACGCATACTTTGTAACCTCCTCTTGTAAGCTACAAGTGAAACATGCCATGATACCATTTTTTGGTTTTATTATTCCGAAAAACATTATTTTAGCTGAAATAAGTATTTGCAACCTTGGTCATGGATACCAAAATTAATTAAGTGGAATTAAATGGAAGATTACTTTTTTTTGCTGTTTCACTTGGTAAAGCTTGGGAAACATAAAGCAGCTGCAAAAACAAAACACGTCAGTTTCAACTACCGGGTTTCATCGTATGTGTGCCAAAATCTTTTTCACCCAACGTTGTCAGTTTATTTTCAAGCTTATCAGTACAAACAATTTAAATAAATAGGTATTTATCGGTATTTACTATTTTAATTAATTTAACACCTGTGCCTTTTTTTAAGTCAAAAATTTAAACTTTTGGACTAATAACGGAACATTTACTTTCCAGCAGAAGTCGGAAGATATTTCCGAGGAATGTTTGAACTAGCTTCTGAAGGAGGTTGAAAAAACTTCCATGGAAAGAAGAAAGAAGCTTTTCTGGAGGAAGTTTGAAGAAAAACATGACAAGTTATCTAGAATTTAATTTGGTAAAAACTCTGGCACGCTCTCAATTTGAAACAAAGTATAACATCGCTGGTACTTAACCATAATTTGAAAAGTAAAAGTACCTACTTTGGGCTCGGAGTTGAATTCCACTCCCTTTATTCAAAGTCACCCCAGTTTACGATGCATCGTCCGGTGTAGGATCAACAATAATGAGCCATCTTTGAAGTTTTTCCTTTTGGGATTCAAAGGCAAAAATTGTGTAAAGTTTCAACTGACGATGATACATTTTGAAACAAATTTTCATTTCGTTTCGTTTCGTCTCCGTCTAGGAGTACCGATTAAACTTCGTTTGCTCCATCTAGTGCAGAGTTCTTTGGAATTAATTCAGGCTATTTGTCAAGTGCAAGTGCAGCTTCATCCAGAACGTGCTGTGTAGGTGGTGTCGTACCCATCTTAGTCATGTGTCATACCAGTTATAATGGTAACATTCCAACGAGAAAAAAAAAAAACCAAACCCTCCAGGATGCACACTACTCACCTGAAATGCGTCATTGAGGCTGTGCATTCTCATCCGTTCCCGCTCGTTGGACTCGAGCCGCCGTAGGTTGCGTTCCTTGGCATTGAGGACGCCTTTTCGGCGTCGTGCGGCTGCCGCGGTTTGCAGATGGCTGGAATGCGAAGAAACGTGACGGCTACCGCTGCTGCCTCCGCGGCTTCCGTTGCGGCTGCTGCCACAGCTGGTGTCGTCACTCTGCGAACTCGAGTCGCTCATATCCGGATCGAGGGCGGACTCCTGCTGAGATTAAGCAGAAAAGAATGTCAGGGGTCGGGGGAAAACAACAAGCATGGGATAGTGCAAATGAAAGGTGCAGTTATTTCGAGATGTCTAATTTAAGCTAGGAAAAGCAGAATGTATTTTTTTTTGGGTTGCAAACTCACCGTTTGTAGTCGCCTAGCGGTGCGCTTTGGTCTGGAAGTGGGCCTCGGATTGACCAGGTATTCGGTTGGAAGCTGTAGCAAATCATCCGATCGGTGACCATTTTGCCCGTTGGAGCCGTTGCTGTTCACCTCGAAGAATCCACTCGTGTCGGAAGATTCGGCTATTTCGGCTGCAGCAATTTGCAGGATATTCCGGTCGTCCGTTAAGTCCGATCTCATTTTGCTAATTGTTTCCACCTTTTGCGGTTTTCTGTTAATCACTTTAGGTCACTATTTTCCACTTTTCACACTAACCCGGGCTCAATTTTCTCGTCGTATTTTCCATATTCTTGGATGGGTTCTTGCCGGGGTTCTACTCTTCCGCAAATTTTCCCAGAAGTTATTCCCGGTTGGGTGTCTGTAACAAAAAAAAAACAGAGGAGAGATAAACGGAAATGAGTATTACGCTCGCCATGGGAGATTATAAAACACTTCCGCGCCAATTTTCCCTGCAATCTATTTTTATTTCAAGATTAATTTGCACAGGCTACCAGGCCAGGCTGGGACAAGGTTGACCACCGTGGATACAGCAGCGAGGGGTGAAGGAAAAGAAGCAAAAAAAAAAGCATCCCGAGACGTGATTATGCCGCCAGGGCACAGTAAAATGCCGTTCCAGTGAACTGGGGGTTATTCTTATCCAGTTTCTACATTTACCATGCCCGTCGGTGGCGGTTAAGCTGGGATTCTGGGTCTGGGAGTAGAGATTGCCCCGGTAGCACCGGCGTTCTTGTTATTACTTTGTTATGTTCTAGTGATGATGAATTAAGCTTCTGTGGGAGGGAGAGCTGGGATGAATAATTGCTTTGAATGCTAAATATAGTTTGTTTCAAAACAGCTTTTTTTGACAGTAAGCTGTCGATTGATTAAACTAATAAAAGATTAACACTATTTTTGTTTCAAAACTTATAATCTTTGTACACTTTTACATTCCGAGCATTTCTTTCAATCAAAAGTGTGTAGGTAACCCATTGATTGCGTTGCACGTTGCATTTGAAAATTGCGATGGTACGTTCTGTTGTTATATCACGAATCTCATCACCACTGTCAATTGAGTACGGAAGAAACCCAGCAAAATGGTCCCAAACAGACAAGTCGACCCGATGTCGGGTCAATGTAAATCAAATTTAAGGTCGATGTCGACCCAATGTCGTGTTGTTGTTGAGTTGTGGGTTTATGTGGGGGTAAATGTCTGGTCAACATCGAGTTGGGGTTTGGTAGAAGTTCAGACGAAAAGAATGCTGATAAAAAACACTTTGAAATGCATTTTACCCGATCACTTGCACTTGCTTTGTACTAAAGTTCTATTTTAAAACTATGTTATCGAGTGTCACATTGTTCGGCCGGCACGAAACGAAACGAAAAATCAATGATAGAAAGAACTAAGCCTAAAATTATCGAACCCATGATTTTCTGCTCAATAAGCAAAATTGGTCGCCACAAGGCCAACGAGCTCCTTAAATCACAGAAAAACTACGATCAAGATCCCGTTTAACTTGCTGTCACTAGATTTCGATCCCAGCGGGGATCTTACCGACGTCAACAACAACTGCTCTTGAGAAGGATTTTATGTGTAATTCCGATCAACACATTAGCGTTAGCGTTAGCGTTGCTACGGTGTACTTCGGATACTAGTGACACTCACGGCTCTTTTGAAATTCTTAGTCGGACTGCGTTCATTAATAATGCTAGGAAGTTAACATTATTTCTAATCTAAACAAGAATACTAAAAGCATGACTGTCACTATTCCCGGCCACGCCTATATTTACCGTAACTAGGGATACTACTTACTCAACGAGAAGCCACCGAATTAGTGACACCCTCATACGTACTACGGAGTTGGAGTATTGGGTACGGTATTAGGTTAGGATACGCGTCAGCCAGACGATACAACCATAAGCATTTTTTTTTTTTTTTAGGAATTCGATAATAAACCCACGATCTCACCTGAATAATCCTTGAAGCTCCCGAATACAGTTAAGAAAAGTTTCTTGGATCTTGATTAAGGAAAACCGCTACTCGTTGCCAGCCCTCGGAAAGAGATGCATCAAATGCAAAAGTCCGGCATCTCTCGGTATCACTATAAGCCTGCTGGATTCACATCATCGTGATCATCTCGGGATCTTCGTTGCCCATCAGCTAAGACAGCTCCTGGATCTTCCTTTTTTCTTTTTATTTTTCACTTATCATCCGCCATGGTCTGATTTATTTCGATCCCGTCCTTGAGATTTTGAACAATTGGAGGCGAACCAGCCCAAGGCTGAAAGCCTCCTTAATAAAGCTAAATAATAATAATAATTTTGAACAATTGAACAATCGGAAGTTTGTTTAAACATAAATTAAACTGGTTAAAACCACCATATGAAAATCAGCAGCATAATAACAATCGTGTCAAGCAGACAACCACTCACAGATGGTGTTGATTCCTATCACGATTTGTTTACAAAAATAATTTGTCAAAATCCAAGTAAACAATGCTGGCTGCAGTGTTGCGAAAATTGTTCAGGAACGCAAATATTGATCACAGAGCTAATGACTATTCTTAGTAACGGACATGTTGAATCAATACAATTCAAACAATGGCGTCAAGTAGAGAGATGCATTATGGACTGAGTTAAAATGGACACACAGGAATTTATTGATACTTTTTAAGAAAAATTATTCAATTTATTGCCGCATAACTTTATAGCAATAGGCAAATTACTTGAAACACGTCAAAAGCAATTTGAAAGCTACAGAATGCATCATAATCTGTGAATTTTTGGGATAGTTATTCTTTCGTTGTGCAGGATGCAGTTCAAGGCTTTCATTGGGCGAACGCCCAATGTACTACGAAAGACGAAGAATCGAACGATTTGAAATTTACTAGTTTTATTGCAATTGCTGATTTCACTAAACATAATCATGTCGCAGTTCGTTTATTTCTTACGCATTGTCTAGCGTTCATAACATGTAAATTGCCAGGCTTACAAAAGATTTACTTTTTCTCAGATGGATCAGGAATTTCTTGGACTATATGTTCCGAAATTTTAGTTTAAGATGATACGGTCTGGAATCCTTTGCTCTGATGCCACATTGCTTCTTCTGGAATATAAATATCAGCTATCAGCAACATGTAATAACAGCACTGCAAATTTCATGCTTGAAATCGTAATAGTGCCCGAGATTTACTTCCTATAAAACGCTGTATCGTAAGTAAGTACTGAACCACCAATGCTAAACGTTAAATGAACGAATTGATAAAGGGAAAGCCAGCGTGCAGCCAACCTTGAAAGGAGAAAATAAGGGGGAAAAGCTCTCAGAAATATTACCTCCGATAAACGTTTGGTGATTTTCATTTGCTAAAACGATAATAACACCATCGCTTATCAAGAATATGTTTGTTTATCTATGCACCTTCCATATATGATAAGAGCTGTAAACTGAGCTAGAAAAACAACTTTATTGACTGTGATTCGTTTGATCTCAGATCAAATTATTTTTTAGATGAGATTATTCTTTTTGAGGACATTGAAGTGCTCTAGAAAACGAACATCAAATTTTGGCTTATGTAATGCCTTGTGTAATCGATCTTCAGATTAAAAAAAGTTCTCTAAAGTGAACCTTCATCAACGCCATTTGCAGCCCTGGCAACAGCATCGCTTAGCAATGATAAAATCGTAAAAATCTTTGTCGCCCTTCTACACTTTTACCGACGATTGATACGCTCCATAACAATCCTACATCCATTCCACTTTACAGCACTAACCGCCCTTGGCGCCTCTGGTGCTGATAAAGTGTCAACTTACATTAGAATCACATTTTCTCCCACTACACAAGTCATAATTCTCAGTTGGCACGCGTTGAATCTGTTGAGCAAAAAAAAAAGAACTAGAGTTTAATCCTCGTGGCAGCACCGCGTCTGCACCTCTCACATTCTGATAATGGCAGCAGGCAGGGCGTCGAGGGAAAACTGTTACCGCTGGCTGTCCTCCTCCGTGGTGGGATAGGGGAAAGGATAGTTGCAGCAACCAGAGCCGAGAGTGCAAAGTGAAAATCACATCATCTCCTGTTACATCCTGTGCGGGTAAATTAATATTTGCCTCATAATGAATCCAGTGGATACAGTGAAAGGAGCGTATAAAACATCTCACTTTGTCGCCATCAGCAACGGTTTTTTTTTCGCCCACAACTGCACTTCGTTTCACTTCACACTTGTTCTGTGAGAGCTATGCAGCTATAGAATGATCTCTTATCGGCGAAGAAGAGCATCGAGGTCGAGAAACATTATCACATTTTCAATTTTCTCCATTGAGGTGTTAGGAAAATGGAAAAAGGGGTCCGGTTACATCGAGGAACAAATTCCCTATTCAGCAGATAATCTCAAATAAGTAGCGTAAGAATGGCTGGATTAAATACAGTAATATAGTTGGGAATTAAGAAAAAATGGATAATATGTCATTAAATTTTAGTCATTATATAGGAAACAAACAAGCAATAACATAATTAATCAAGAACGTTACGGATGGGAGTATTTTTAATGAGAAATTGGTGACAATGACTTTTTATTGTTACCTACATAGTGAAACGTGAGATAGCCATATATATTTTTTTAAATTACCACTTTGATGAAATTACTATGTTTTTTTTTAGTAAAGACTGTACTCGGAAAAAAAAAATGCTACAGACAATAATGATCACCCAAAAATCATGTTAAGTCGGATATTTTTGAAACTCTCGTGGAATGAATAAACACATAATAGCTATGTTTTTGCAAAGTTGGTTCATTCAACCTCCTCTCCTAGGCTAAATGCTCGCATCTTTGACTTAGTGCTACCCATCAAATCTTGTGCAACATTTGCCCCATCTTTCTTACACACTTTCATCCACTCTATCTTCAAATCCTTGTCGTTTTTGAAGACCTTCCATGTTTTCCGGAGCTTGCCCTTCATAATCGCCCAGAATGTGTCTATTGGCCGAAGTTCTGGCGACTTTGTCGGATTTGGCTCCTTCGGCACAAAAACAACATCGTTGGCTTCGTACCACTCCATCACCGGTTTCGCGTAATGGCACGATGCCAGATGTGGCCAAAAACAGAGTGTCACCTTTGTGGGACCGAAGGAAGGACAGCAGCCACTTCTGGAGGCATTTTTCTTTATATATTTGGCCGTTGATGGTGCCGGTCGTTCTGCACAGCCTGCTGAATTTGCCGCACTCAAAGATCGCCTGCCACACTAAGAGCTTCTTGGCAAATTTGTCGACCTTATTCTTCCGGAACTTCAGGCAGAACTTTCCGAAGAAAAACTCCAGGCACATCCACCTCGAATTTTCAATTACACAAACCTCGGAAATTAGAGCCTCA